AGGTACCTGTGACTGTGGAGTTCCTGGGCTGGGCGCCGCAGGGAGAGAGCAGGGCCTGGGTGATCGGCATTGCGATTTGGGCTGGGCTACTCACTCTCTCTGGCCTCCGTGTGACCTGAGGCTGGGGAAGCTCCTCAGTGAGGGAGAGACTCACTGTGCTGTGGTGAAGTGCTGAGTTTCACCCACAGATAAAAGTAGGGCACGGGATGGGTGGGGCATCTGTGCATCCCTCAGCCTCGGCCGACCCTGGGGTCTACCTCCCCCGGGACTGTCTCCACACCCAACAGACATGCTCTCCTCACCCGTACACCTCAGCCCCCTTGGTGTGAGGGCACATGGGCCTTCCTGCCTGCCAGGCGCAGCCCAGGCCACCGTGGCTTTCCCCACAGCAGGCTCTGGCCACTGATGCGTCTTGCCTCATGTGCTCTCAGGCCTGGAACCGCTGCCTTCTCCCGCTGAGTCACGGTATCCCGGCCTGGCTCCACCCTGCCCTTCCCCCTCCCAGCTGGCCACAACTGCCTTCCAGAATAGGGTCCAGCACACGTGAGCCCTGGGGTTATTCCCAAGACAGCCCATGAGGGGGTAGGGAAACTGAGGTTCAGAGAGGGGTGGGATTGCCCTGAAGAGCAGGGCAATGGGATGACAGAAGAGCAGGGTAGATGACAGAATCGGGACTAGAAGTCACATCACTTTACTCGCAGCCAGGGGCTGTCCCCAGCAGTGTGTCCCAGGCAGGGCCAGGGCCGTGGAGGGCCACTCAGCGGAGGAGACTGAGGTCTGCCTCCTGCTACTGCGGGCAATTTAGTGAGAGCCTCCTCTCAGTCTGACTGAGCAGTGCAGGGGGAGGCACTGGCTATAAAGGTCCGAGCAAGGCGGGCAGGGGTGTCCTGTGGAGGGAAGGCACAGCTGTATCCTGAAACCAGGGCCCCTGCTCACCCCACTGGCCACCACTTGTCAAAATGCTGGAGACTGTTTGTCCTTCTCTAAGCCTCAGTTTCCCCACCTGTACAATGGGGCCCAGGACAGGAGTTGGAGCCGATGATCCCTGAGGGCCTGCAGCTCTGACATTCCAAGGCTCTAACCCCTGACCCCATGGCCAGGCCTCCTCCTCCCTCTGGCATCTTGCTTATTCAGAGCATCCCCAGCCGAGACTGCCTGCCCCAAGCACCCCTTCATCCCCAGCCTGTCCCCTGGCTTCAGACTCAGTGTCCCTCTGTATCATGGCCCCTCTAAGTCCTAACCCCTCAGTGAGCTCAGGGGTGGCTCCCTGTTTTGAACCTCCATCCCCCAGCATTCCATGCTAGACATAGATGTAGCTCATTTATGATCTTTGTCTCCAGCCCCCCAACTTCTAATCACCAAGTCCTACTGATGCTCAGCTAGAAAATCTCAAATCCATCTGTGCCCACCAGTCTCCACTGGGCTCAGCTAGAAAATCTCAAACCCATGTGAGGCCAGACTCCAAAGCCCTCTCCCAGCTCCAAGTGGGTGGGGAGGGTGTCAGGATGAAGGGGCCAGGTGGAGGCCAGAGACAGAGGAGCACTCCACTTAGGCCCAATCTCTGCCCACCTAAGTGCTCCCTGCCTCAGTTTCCTCACCTAAAACCAGGACCTCATCCAGCTGGCTGAGGAGCAAGCGAGCTAACACCCAAGCAAGTGTTCAGAACAACATGTGGTATCGTGAACACACACACGCCGGCTTGGTGACTTATTTGTGCACACTAAGGATGTGTGTTGTGGGGAGCATGGGGCCCTGTGTGCGTGTGCTGTGTGGATATGTGCATAGCTTTGCCTGTGCTCAGGACACATGGGACGGAGAGCCACATGCAGGCGTGCACACAGGCAGGCACACGCTGAATGCCCTTGGGGGGCTGGGCCCACGGCCTGTTGCACACACATGTGTTTCAGGGGTGTGTGTGAGCCAGTGCGTAGGCAGGAGTTTGGCTGTGTGCACGTGCTTTCCGTGTGCATGCCTCCCCCGCTGACAGCTGTGCAGCCCTCCCTGGCCTGCCTGTGTCGTGGGAGCCTCGGGACCCCGAGGGAGGGAAGTGGCTGCTGGCGGATGCGGCCAAGATGACTGGATTTATTTAGATTAAGGCGGTGGGAAAGGAGCGGGAACTTGCATGTGCTGGAAAGAGGGAAGGTGGGGCTCAGAGAATGACTCCCAAGCATGCTTATTTCCCTGGACTTAAGGTATTCATTCGCTCTACACCCCCTCAGGGGCTCTGTGATTCACTGTCAGGAGCTGGGCAGCTCCTCATTTTTGTCCTCCCGGTCTGGTCAAAATGGGAGCAATCAGGAAGGCTTCTTGGCATATATGAGCAAAGATGGGCCCTGAGGTCCGGCCCTCCTTATCTCTGTCATATCTTTCCCAGAATAGCAGTTTGGGGGATACCTGTTCACTGACTATGACACCCCACCTTGTCCTCAGTGGCTCTTCCCTGAAGAAGACAAGTTGTCACAAGCAAGTCCACCTACCCACACCCCAGTTATCTAAACTTTCTGGGCTCAGCCAGACCACAACAGCCTCTGGGCAGCACAGAGAGGCCCATGAGCACTGGGAGGACAATTGAGGGTATCGGGAACTCACCCAACATGGCCTGGGAGGCCCTGTCTGAGTGTCCCCTGTCCTACACTGGTCCTTCACTGTCCCCTGGGCCATGCCAAACTTTCCCTGCCACCTCCTGGCTTTCCAGTCACCAGTTAATTTGTCTGGAAGCCTCCCGCGAGACGAGGCCCAGAGAGGGAGACAGCTTGGTAAAAGCCACACAGCAGATCTGTGAGTGAATGATGGAATCTGATCCATGGGATGTGATGTGGGTTTGGGATTCTCAAGTATCTCCAGCCTCAGAAATGTAGCCTCTTCCTGTCGTCAGCTCCCATCTCCCTAAAACACCCAAGGAAAAACAGGAATGACTAGAACCTTCTTTCTGGCAGTTTTAGAACAGGTATGACTCTGAGAAGACCCTTTCAAGATCTCTCCGATACCGACAATGGAAAAGTCCTAGCGGGGTTGGTATTTGCTCAGTCTCACATGGGTCTGAGGTCCCTTGCGATTTGAGCTGAAATCTACTTCATAGAGAGAAGCCAGTCCAAGGTCCTTGGGGGGCCACGCTGTCCCTGGGCCCCTTTGCCAGCCTGACCCTGCCGTGTGGCTGTGTGACGGGGCCACAACCCTGCACATCTCGGGGCCTCAGTAGCCTGTTTGAGAAAGTCCTTCCCGTCGAGCCAAGAGGGTCTCCAAGGCTCTAAGCCACCCCCAGGCCCAGCAGGCCAGGAGCCAGGGTCAGGGGTTGCCCTCCCATGTCCAACCCCCATGGCTCAGCCTTCCAGACCAGGCCAACCTCAGCTCTGCAGTGACCTCCCATCCCAGCCAGCCGACCAAATTCCTCCTTTAGAATAATAAACAGTGTGGCCAGCCAGGGAGGCTGGAGGGGAGGGGTGGGAGGCTAAAATGACCCCCTCCTCCAGCCTGGTCTGCTAATGATTTTCTTTGGCTGAGATCTTGGGCAGGAAGGGGGGAGCCAGAAGGGTACCTATCAAGGGGCAGATGGGCCTCTGTGGGGGCTGCTGGCTCCGGAATGGCGCTACTGGCATCAGCTGGAGGGGCTGGACCAGGAGGGGTGGGAGGGGGGCGTGTAAGGGGGACAGGCCGGTCTTTCCATCTGGATTAATGAGAAAGGACGGCAGAAATGATGGGGCCCTCGGGCAAACTGCTCTGAAGGGATGGGGAGAAAAGCAGAACCTCAAAGAGCTTCTTGGGGTGCTGGGTAGAGCTGAGACTTGAGAGGCACAGGCTGGAAGCTTCCCTCTGTCCAGCACGAATGTGTCTGTGCCTTAGGGGTGGTGTACTCGCCATCACCCCATGTGGAAAGTTGGAGATTGAGGCCGCTGGGGTGGTAAGAACAACGGCCTGCTGAACTCACACCTAGACCCCAGTCCTGGGTTGGGGGGAGCTAAGGGTGGAGTGGGGGAAAGCTGGGTGTGTACTGGGGAGCCAGGCCAGGCTGGGCAGCCGCTCAGGGAAGTCAGCAGACCCACAGCACCAGGAGGCTAATTGTTGCCGTGTCACATGTTCACTTCCTACGTTTCTTGCTCCGTGACGCCTCCCCCACCCCACCCCCACCCACTTCTGGCTCTTTCCTGCCATTGCTCAAGACAGACCCCTGCAAACTTGGTCACGGGTGATCGTTTGGGGGCCTCAGGTGGGGCTGGGACAGACCAAGACTCACCCCGCCCCTTCCCTCCTGATCTCTGATGCCTTCTTGGATGAACACTGCTGTGGAACCTTGGGCAAAGGTCCTTCTCTCTTGGAGTCTCAGCTTCCCTAGCTGCATACTGAGTGAGGGTCTGGGAGTCAGTCTCCACAGATCTTTGGAAAGTGCTGTGTAGTGGGGCCTCCTTGAGCTCAGCCTCTGGCCCCTCACCCCCGGGCCTCCCTGTGCAACTCAGCTCAGGGCTAAGTAAAAGGGGCCAGGCACGGGGGTGCCCCCCCACATTCCAGAGCCCCGCTTCCCTTCCCACAGCCGCCTCCATTTCCTGTTGTGCTTGTGAGCTGTGGGAGTTCTCTGGGGCCCAGCTCGCCCCCTCCTTCTCCCCCAGGCCTTTCATCACGCTTTCCCAAATATTTGTCCTGGCAGATAAGAGCCTGGTATTGGAACTGTCACTGGGAGGACAGGCTGTTAAGGGTGGCAGGCCCCTGGACCCCATCCAACCCACGTCCCCCTCCCCCACTGCACACACAGAGAAACTAAGGCCCAGAGAGAGTCCAGGGCTCCACCCAGGCCAAAGCAGGATCCTAGGCTGTGCCCAGAGCAGGGGTGGGCATCTGGGACACGAATGCCCTCTAGCTGTGGGATGGGGATGGCCTTCAACTTCAGCGCCCTGGACATGGAAGCTGAGGGACCAGGGTGGGGCTGAACTTGCAGGGCCCTGCTGCTAACTTGGGGCTGGGCACCAAATCTGCCTGCCCTGGGACCTGACACCTGTTTAACCCCGCAGGGCGCCCTGTGGCTTCAGACTACCATGCCAGCTCCAGTCTTCAAAGGTAGGTAGACTGGGAGTAGAGGGGGATTCCAGGGAGCCACTAAGCAGGGTCCTGGGTCTGACGAAGGTGGCACTGCTCTGGTCTTGGGCCTGAATGTCCTACCAATCCTTCCACTGCCCTCTTCCTAGTTTGCAAACTCAGTGGAAGCCTGGTCCTTGTTAGGCCTCCACTCCTGGGCCGCCTTTCCAGTTGACCCGTTACTAATTGTCTTTGGGTTTTCTATCTCTTCTCTGCACTGGTTGGTACTAGTCTGGCCATCTGTTCTGGGTTGGGACTTCCCTGCCTGGAACCCCCAAGTCCCAGCTGGGCTTCTCTCAGCATGCTCTGTCCTCTCTCAGGCCTGTGATGGGCAGTCAGTTCTCCAGGGGCTGGGCAGCTGACCAGGCCACCAAGGACTGGCTGGCTGAACACCCACTGGGCTGGGCTTCCCCTTATTTTGTCTACTGGGAAGTACACACCAAGACTGGGGGGCGTGGCTTACACTTACAGGCTTCATACCCAAGGGCATTAGCAGAGGAGGGGAACCAACCCCTGACACCTGCCGGTCACCCTCCTCGCCAGCCTCCCTCTGAAATGACCTGCTTCCCCAAGCAGAGACACCCTGGGCTCAGTAGAACCTGGGCAGCTCAGGCAGCTGCAGGGAAGCAGCTTAGAAAGTGACCTGGGAAGCAATGCAGGAACTGGAATTGCTTCCCAAGGATTTCCTGAGGCCTTTGTGAGAATGTGCCCACAGCCTGAACTAGCACAGCTGAGCACTCTGAGGCAGCTGGGGTCTGAGGCACAGACCAAGAGGCCAGAAGAGTCCCACTGACTGGGCTGGGCAGCAGTCCTCAGGGCTCTGAGCTTTTCAAGGACGGTGCGTAGACGCCACCCCAGAACCAGCTCTGGGGACAGGGCCAGTCTCTCATGGTCTGACCGCTGATGCTTCCTTCCCCCAAGGCCTGGTGCTGTTGCTGCTCCTGTTGTTGCTGCTGGGACCACAGGCCTCCCGAGGCCTGGTCATCATACCCCCAGGGCCAGAACTTGTCCTCAATGTTTCCAGCAACTTTGTTCTGACCTGCTTGGGTTCAGCTCCTGTTGTGTGGGAACGAATGTCCCACGAGCCCCAGCAGGAAATGAACAAGACCCAGGATGGCAGCTTCTCCAGCAGGCTGACACTGACCAACGTCACTGGGCTGGACACGGGCGAGTACTTCTGTACCTACAAAGGTTCCCATGGGCTGGAGCCCAGCGAGCGAGAAAGGATCTACATCTTTGTGCCAGGTAAGGGCGCTCAGCCTGTGAACTCTCATTCACGTCATGAATTACAGCCATTCCAGCCATGCAGGTGAGTCACGGAATCCAGGCTGGCTCAGGCAGGGAGTGTGTTCACTCCTACCCCTTGGTCTGGATACCCATCTGTTCCCTCAGCCCACCCCATTCCTGGTTGCCAAGAACTCTGCTTGCTTTGCTGGTTCCAAATGCTCCCTCTTGGCCTCCACACCCATCTGTGCAGTCCCTGAGTTCAGGTACCAGCTGCCCTTCACTTATGGCCTCAACCTTGTGTTGTTGACATCAGACGTGAGGTCTGGAAGGGACCTCATGGAACATTCTTATTCTCAGCAGGCGCACTATAGGCCAGAGAGGGCAAGAGGCCTGCTCCAGGTCACACAGCAATGCAGAGAACAGCCCAAATACCCACTCACTGACCCTTATTCTTGACTTCACCACTCTTTGCAGACCCCAACTTGAGCTTCCTCCCTGTCACTTCTGAGGAACTATTCATCTTCCTTACGGAAGTAACAGAGACCACCACCATTCCATGCCGGGTGACAGACCCACAACTGGTGGTGACACTGCATGAGAAGAAAGTGGATGTGCCTCTGCCCGTCCCCTATGACCACCAGCGTGGTTTCTCTGGAAACTTTGAGGACAAGACTTACATCTGCAAAACCACCATCGGGGACAAAGAGGTGGATTCCGAGACCTACTATATCTACAGCCTCCTGGGTGAGCCTCCTTTCTGGCCTGCAGCTCAGCATAGGCCAGGCCAGTGTGGCCCTTTGCAGAGATAGAGCCCTTGTGGGTGACTCCATTTTTCACAGTATTCTCAGTGCAGTGTTGGAAGGCAGGCAGTGTTCCCCCACTTTATAGGTGGGAAGCTGAGACTCAGAAAGAGGGTGGAGTTCGCCAAGCACCAGATGCCTTGGTGGCACACCTGGTCTGTACACAGGGTGGAAAGGTGGACCTTCCAGTTGGCTGGGTTTGAGTCCTAGCTCTGCCATCTCCCATCTGAGTAACTGCAGAGATGTCTGTGAACCTACCTTTCCCTCTGTAAAATGGAGACGATAATGCCCGCCAATCTCGTGGGGTTGTTGTGAAGATTCAATAAGACAAGAGACCATGGGTACCTAGCACACAGTTGTGCATGATAAATGCCTCTGGTACTTAGATGCCCAAAGAGCTCTTTGATTTCAGGCTGGTGTCCTTCTAGAATGTCAGCTCCACAAGGATAGAGCTACAATTTTGTCTCTGTGTTTTTTTTCTATGCCCCAGCTCTGAGAACAGTGGTTGACATGCAGTAAACACTTAATAAATGTTGTTGAATCGTCTTCCATTCTACCATCACTTCCCTCTCTGGACCCCCAACCCACCCCTAAGTTGACATGCTGGCACCTGGGGATGACTTCCCCAGCCAACCTCTCTCCACCAGTGTCATCCATCAACGTCTCAGTGAGTGCTGTGCAGACAGTGGTCCGCCAGGGAGAGAACATCACCATCATGTGCATTGTGACTGGCAACGATGTGGTCAACTTTGAGTGGACATACCCCCGCATGGAGGTGATGCTGGGCCGGGGGTCGGAGCAAGGGGCCAACCAGGGTTGGATAATTTTGACTTGCAATCTGACATTTTGACTTGGCGGGCTTGCCCCACTTGTCCCTACAGAGTGGGCGGATGGTGGAGCCGGTGACAGACTTCCTCATGAACACGCCCGCCCACATACGCTCCATACTGCACATCCCCAATGCTGAGCTGGACGACTCAGGGACCTATACTTGCAACGTATCGGAGAGTGTGAATGACCACCGGGATGAAAAAGACATCAATATCACTGTGGTCGGTGCGTGTCTTGGGTTCATCCCAACCCTCAAGCTGAGCTGGACCCTGCCACAGCCTTTGGGCATTGTCAGTCACGTGTCCAGCCAGTTGCCTCAGTCTCAAACCAAGCCCTATTTCCAGGAGAAACCCAAACCCAAACCTGAATCCCAACCTCCACCTCCCACTGGGCCACAAGCCCAGCCCAAACCAATTTCCAATTCCAATCGACTTCCTGGGCCCCAGCAGTCTTATCCCACATTCAACCACACTGCCTCTCTCGCAGTAAGCCCGAGCCAGAACACGCCCTGTGAGAATTAACAACTTCAGTCCCAACCTCAATCCCGGCCTCCAAACCACGCGCAACCCTTCATTCAGCTCCTCTTCCAGTCCCAGTCCCAACCACACCCCAGCTCCCGTAACTCCGGCCCTGGTTCTGTTCCTAAGCCTGAAACCCCGCCCCAGAAGACTGGACTCCTGGGGGTCTCGGTTAAGCCCCGCCTCCAGCCCCGCCCCCAGGGCGCTGCCCCATTGGTGGCCTGGCTAGGCTTGGCCCCGCCCCTGACAGTCACACCTTGCAGAGAGCGGCTACGTGCGGCTGCTGGGGGAGCTGGACGCTGTACAGTTCGCGGAGCTGCACCGCAGCCGGACTTTGCAGGTGATGTTCGAGTCATACCCGCCGCCCACTGTCATGTGGTTTAAGGACAACCGCACCCTGGGCGACTCCAGCGCCGGCGAGATCTCCCTGTCTACACGCAACGTTTCCGAGACCCGGTGAGCACCTTCAGTCATGCAAAGTCTTTAGTCACTCACAAACCTGACTTTCCTCGTGCCTACTATGTGCCAGGGTCCCTGGCAGGTGCTGGGATGCTGCAGAAATCCAAACAGATTTCCATCCATTCTAGAGTTTCCTGTCTGTTGGGAGAAATAGCAGCTGGTTGAATCATCACATAGGTCGTTAGTTACCCTACCCGTGCCACAGGTGGACCTAGAGGGGCCCGATGATGGGGAAGGATGCCAAGCAGGAGGGCAGGTAGCCTCGAAGCTGGAGATGGGTAGACTCACCTGAGTGTGGTGTGCTAGTATAAAGCAGCGTCGGGCCTTCCTGAAGGGCATGAGATGAGGACTGAGAGAGAACTGTGCTTCCCCTCCACACTCACCCCCTTCCTCCCGACCCTGCTTTTTGGCTCAGTGGAGCTTCCTCTGGGTGGGGTTCACTAGCCCAGGTGGGAGTTCTGGCTCAGAGACAGACAGCTGTGTGACCTTGGCAAGCCCCTCATTCTCCCTGGGCTGTTCTTTTTTTCTGTCTGTCTAGAAGGGGGGTGGGGGGGAGGTCTGCAAGAGCCCTTCCAGCTCTGACAGCTGGGCCTTTTGGCCTATCTTGTTCCCCAGGTATGTGTCAGAATTGACATTGGTGAGGGTGAAGGTGGCCGAGGCTGGCCGCTACACCATGAGGGCCTTCCATGAGGACGACGAGGCCCGACTCTCCTTCCAACTGCAGGTCAACGGTGAGGAGCCCCACTTCTCTGCCCCTGGCCCACCACCTCTGTTTCTCTTCCTTCTCCTTGTTCACCCGTCTGTAGGAGGCCGGGCTCCAGGCTGGGTCTGACAATGTCCATGGCTCAGCACGCTTGGGAGACAAAGCAGACCATTGTGAACTGAGGAGCAGACCATTGTGAACTTGGCACACCCCTTCTGGGGCCTCAGTCTCCCCAGCTGCGCAAGGAGGCCATTGGGTAGACATTGATGTCTCCCCAAGCCTCAGGCTTTCCTATACCAGCGCCATGATCTCCCCCTTGCTTACCACTGCTATGCTAGTGCTGTTTGGTAGACATTTGTGATACAGCTACAAGATGCCAATGTGCTTGAAGCTCCTGCAGCCCCGCCTTTGTGCAGCTCATACCCTAGCAGAAGATAGCAGCACTGGGGCTAAAAGCCCCAGCACACTTCTGTAAATGGTTAGAAGGTAGCAAGTGCTATTTTCTTCTGAGTAGAGAGGATTGAGATTTTGGGTGCAGGAAGGCAAAGGATTGCACTTTTAAATAGCACCATCAGGGGTGGCCTCGAGATGACATTTGCGGGAAGACTTGATGAGGTGAGGACATTAGCCAGGCTATTTGGGGCAAGGGCACGCCAGGCTGTCCAAAGGGAAGAGTAATGCAGAAAGGCCCGTGTGATGCTGCATGAGGTGGTGGTGGTGGGGGGGTGGGTGGTTGGGGAGGGCAGAAGCTGGCCTTTATGTGGACTCTGGCTTCCAGTAGGACTGAGACGAAGAGCCACTGAAAGGCAGTGAGCACAGGGGTGACCCAATAATAACTTGATGTTTTGTCCAGCAAGTTTCTAAAAATAAGTTTATTTTGAAAAAGAATGTAACCTCTCAATTGTAGATGGAAAATCAGCCTCACATGCAATAAATATACAGCAATCCCTAAAATAAACTCGGAGGAGACAGAACACTGCTCTTCAGCTCTCGCCCCCTGCTCTGGCCCTTCCCTGGGCTCTGATCCTGAGCTGGCTCCCTCCGATAAAGGGAGGAGATTCGCAAGTCTCAGAAGTGGTGAAGACCAGCACTCTCCTGAGCCTTTCCCTTTGAAGAGTCCAGAAGGGAGATCTGTCAGTTTCACATATGACTCCTGGTTCTTACTGTTCACCTACAGTCTGCTTCCCCTGCTCCCCTCAGCCAGGGAGGCTCTGGGCTCTGGGCTCCCTGAGGGCTTCTCTCACTGATGAACCTGCCAACCCCTGGGCCATTGCCCTTTACCCTCTCCTTGTAGTGCCAGCCCGAGTGCTGGAGCTGAGTGAGAGCCACCCCGCCAATGGGGAGCAGACCGTCCGCTGCCGAGGCCGAGGCATGCCCCAGCCACACCTGATGTGGTCTCTCTGCAGGGATCTCAAAAGGTGAGCAGAGGGGGGTTCAGTCTCCCAGGGTGCCCAGAGCCGGCTGGAAGGAACCAGTGCAGGTTGTTTGTCCAGCTCCTTCCTCTAGGGACGTCGCTCTAGCTTAGGGCCACTTCCTAGAAGATTTGGTTTCTTGGAGATGCTGTACTTTGACAGTGTCCCTTTTCTTACCTTGATCCTGAGGGTTAACTAATGGGAGTGAGGTTTGCCATCCAGGGGTCTCTAGTTCTGGAGTGGGAGCGCCACCTACTGGTCAGGGGAAAGACCTCAGGCAGAAACTGAGGGCCAGGAGGTGGGAAGTGACCAGCCTCCTACCTCTTTGGGGTGGGTGTGGCAGCTTTAGGTCTCAGTTTCCCTGCTTGCAAAAGGAAGGGCTCCGAAGCTGATGATGCAGCTGGCTCTCCCGGCAGGTGCCCGCGCGAGCTACCGCCCACGCTTCTGGGTAACAGTTCCAAGGTGCAGAGCCAGATGGAGACTAACGTGACTTACTGGGCGGAGGAGCAGGAGTTCGAGGTGGTGAGCACCCTGCACCTGTCCCGTGTGGATCAGCCGCAATCGGTACGCTGTTCGCTGAGCAACCTGCTGGGCCAGGACACGCAGGAGGTCACCGTGGTACCACACGGTGAGTCCTGCAGGCCCAGTGGCCCTGGAAATCCCTCGGCACCCCCACCTGATGCCAGCCACATTTGGGTGTACCCAAACACCCACAGGGGTCAGTTAGTGTGTTTGTGGGCACTCGGGAACATTGAAATCAGCCACAGTATGTTCCCCAGGCACTCACGACACAGTCTCAGTACACACACAGGTCCATCTGTGAGTGTATGTCCATCAGCCGTGCTGTGTGCTAACCCTTGTCCCTGAACATACCTGATCCTTGGATGCAGGGACAAGCCCTGAGTGTTGATTTGTTAACCTTGCAATGAAGAGTGCCCGATGCCCAGATACAAGCAGGAAACTAGTACATGTCATTAGGCATGTACAAGCATGCATGATGTGTTCATGATGGTATAAATCTACCAGCATGTGTGTCAACCACATGCATGGGCACGTTTGATCCCCAACATGTGTATCAACCCATACATGTTTGCATGTGTATGTGCAAACGGTGCACAGTCCCCTTTCAAGAGTGTAAACAACACCCTACAGTGCCTAAGCATGTGTGAAAACTGGTATATTGGAGGTCTGTAAACACGGTGCCTTTCTGTGACAGCATGCACACACAGCCCTGTATACACACACCTGCTGTACAGGTGATAGCAGGCTGCACACACACACACACACACACATGCATAACTCTTGTCCTGTGAACTGTCTCCACCATGTTCAGTGGCTTTTGCTACCTGCCACCCCCGGGGATGCCCCTGGTGCGTCTTTCATTTATGCATCACTTTCCTCATTCATGAAATAATTACGGGATCTCAACTTCTCTCTGAAGATATAGAGGCTAAAGACTCACCCCCATGCCCAATTTGGGATTCAGGGAGTATCCTGGGAATAGAGATTTTATTCTTTTTAGATCAAAACCTTGAGGGTAATTAGGAGTTAGTCTGATGCGGAAAGATGATCCAGTCAGAGGAAATGGCCTGTGCAAAGTCTCAGAGCAAAAGGACCTTCAGAAAATGGAAGGAATTCCACCTGGAGCCGGGGACGGGGCAGGTTCATGGGCTCGTACTCGAAGGTGCCTCTCTGTGCCGAGACCCGCCTCCCTACCCCACAGCAGGGATGTTGCCGGTCTAATACCTTAGTTCTCCTACGCTTACACCAGTGTATTCACATCCCTGAGCCCTGAGACCAGCTGGCTAGGGGAGGGCTTCTCTTTTCCTCCTAAAAGATGAAGACTTACTCCCCAGAACTGGGATGTATGACCTGGTGGGGAGAGGGAGGAGAGGGATGTTGGCCTGCAGCCCTGAGGAGGAGAGCAGGACTCCCTGGAGAGCAGAGAAGGGCACGTGGGGAACAGAGGAGGGCGGTGGAGGGGGGGAGGTGTGAGGGTCAGGCCAGGGTGGACGCAGAGGAAGAGCTGAAGAGTGGGAAGGTGTGCTGCAGAGGCCAGGCCAGAGGCTGGTGGTGGTGTGGGCTGGGAGGCACCATGTTGTGTTCGCCATTCCCCAGAGGATGCACTTTGTAACCACCCTCACTACCCAGCTCCACTTGCACACGGGGGTAAAACAGGGAGGGCAGCAGTTTCCTGTCTATAATCTCTGGAGGGTGCTCGGTCATTCAGGCCTTCAGCTAGTTGACCAGGCTTTGACAGACCCAGGCAGGGCGCGGATTCAGAGGAGCGGTAAGCTCAGCCCAGTCGCAAGGAACTTGCCTTCCAACTGAGCAACGGCAGGCCACAAAGACCCGCCAAGTACTGAAGGGATGTGGAGGCTGATGAGGTCTGGGGTAGCTACCAGGGGCCTGGGGTATTTGTGGGCGAGGCTGAGCAGGAGCACAGTTCTGTTCTGAGCAGGATGGGTAGAGAGGGACTTGTGGTGCCAGAGGTGTGCTGAAGGGTCAGCAGCTGCCAAGTACCCACTTCCTGTAGGCAACTCTTGTCTCTGCCTCCAGTCCTGCCCTTTAAGGTGGTGGTGATCTCAGTCATCCTGGTCTTGGTGGTCGTCACAGTCATCTCCTTCATCATCCTCATCGTGATCTGGAAGAAGGTAAGCCCCACCCTTGCACAAGGAGTATAGACAACGCCGCAGTTTTGTACAGGCCCCCTGCTGTCCTTGCAAGCTGCAATATCTGATTATGCCCATTCCCAGCATAGAGCTCTGCACGTAGCGCTCTAGAAAAAGGCTGTTGCTGAGCTTCCTCCGCCCCAGTAGCCTGGGCCAACATGGCCCCCATCCAGGCTCCTTGCTTCTGCTATGCCACTCCCCAACCTCCCAGGCGTCAGCCTCACGCTTGCCATAGAAAGGGTCTGGGCCTCCGGATGGATGCAGTGGCTTCCAGGATTCTTCCACCTCCTACCCACAGAGAGCCCCAGGATGCCAATGAAATGCATTCTGATCCTGTCCACGTGTAACTGCAATGTTCTGTCCTGAGATTTGGCCTCTGGTTCCAATTTTTTAAAATTCCTGATAGGACTGTTGCACCCTCTGATTTTATCATTCTAAGATTCCAACTCTGTGATCCCCACATCCTATGATTTCAATGCTATAAGGTTACCTCTTTCTGACTTTCCACTGTGACTGAGCTAGCAGCGGGGAGAGGACACGAGCCACATGGCCAGAGCCCCACCCCCTCACCCTAAGTCACTTTCTGAGGCTGCCGTGCTGTCCCCTCCCATCTGAGCAACTGTTGAGGTGCTGAGAGAACCTGGTGATAGGGTTCTGATGAGCAGTGCCCTCGCCTGTCATGGCCCCCGGCCACCGCCCACTCCACCCTCCGCTGTTGGCACCTGTTCTCACGACACCCATGAGGACCTTGGCTCTAGCCACCATTTGCTGTGTGGCATTGGATAAGCTCCTGCCCTCTTCTGGGCCTTGGGGTCTCCTGCTCTGTCAGGGGCAGAACCTAGAGTGCCTCAAGGTCCAGTCCCCTCTGAGCAAGCTTCCCTGGCCTCCATCCTGCAGAAGCCACGCTATGAGATCCGATGGAAGGTGATCGAATCCGTGAGCTCCGATGGCCACGAGTACATCTACGTGGACCCCATGCAGCTGCCTTATGATTCCACCTGGGAGCTGCCGCGGGACCAGCTTGTGCTCGGTCAGTCTGGGCCTCGGGTGCCAGTCAGGGACTCGAGGCGGGTGGCAAGACTATGTGAGCTCTGGCCCCAATTTGCCATGACAGGGTTTGAGGTCTAGGGTCTTCTGTGCCCTCGACCTCCTCCTCTGTACCGTGGGAACCAGCTGGTCCCGCAGGGATTGAGCAATCAAGTTGTGTGATCTGTGACTGTGTGAGATGGGCCCACTTCATGGTGAGAGAGGAAATAATCATCATCACGGGCAGGCTGAGTGCCAGGACGATGCTTAGTTGGGCTGGAGGGGCTGATGGGTGCAGAGGCACTAGGCACCACTCTGGGGAGGGAGGAGACTTTCTGGGGACCCAGAGGGGCCAGAAGGTAGGCAGGGTTTAAATGAGGTATCAGGAAAGACTGAAGCACTGCGATTTTAGGAGCCTCCTGGGTGGGCTTGAGGAATGTCTAGGTTGACCTCAGTGAGGTGAGGTGGCAGCTTCATGATAAAGCAGGAGCTCAGAGAATCTCTCCCCCCAGGACGTACCCTGGGCTCTGGAGCCTTCGGACAGGTGGTGGAGGCCACAGCTCATGGCCTGAGCCATTCCCAGGCCACCATGAAAGTGGCCGTCAAGATGCTGAAATGTGAGTACGGGAGCCCACCTTCCCCCGCCTCCAGGTGCCCCCTCTCCTTTCCTTTCCCCACACTGAGGCACCCTGATTCTGGTTTGAGTAGGTCTAAAGAAGGGTGGTCTCACTACAGCCTGTGCCACCCCGATTCTGTGTTGGGAGGGAGGCTTCCTTAGGGTTCCCTCCTCTGGAGGCCTCCTTGCCTTCCGTCTTCTCGCCGTCAGCCATCTCTCCCTTCCCCGGGTGTGCAGGTCCTCATCTCCCTAGTCCACATGTCTTACGGCCCAGGTGGGACAGGAGAGCCAGAAATGGCTCTGGTGGGTGAGCAAGGCCTGAACGCCCTCTGTCCCGCAGCCACAGCCCGCAGCAGTGAGAAACAAGCCCTCATGTCTGAGCTGAAGATCATGAGTCATCTGGGACCCCACCTGAATGTGGTCAACCTGCTGGGGGCCTGCACCAAAGGAGGTAGCAAGCCCACTCCTGGGGGTTCGGGGTGCCAGCACAAGACCTGCCCCTCCTCACACCCATCACCCCCTCTTCACCCCTCATCCTTGCAGCGTTCTCATCCCTCCTCGGGCCACAACAACAGGCCTCTCCAGCTGGAGGGTCCGTGTCCAACCTGGGGCACCCCCACCTTCCAGACCCAGAGGGCACAGGGGCTATGAATTCACAAAACCATATACCTTCATGGCTGAAGGACTGCAGGGTGTCAGTCCCAGCGACCTCCAAATCAAGGGGTCCTGTGGCATTTTTTGTTTTCATACTGTACTTCATACACTAATAAATAGCAGCTCAGATGACATGAGATGAGTCACACCCCCACACTGGGGACCACCCGCACGCTCGCCCGAGCTGCTTCCAGGCCTGTGTTCCCAGCATAGATAAAGTCTCTCCAGCCCAGAGTGTTTATCTGAAGCTCTAATTGTAAGTTAGACTGCAAAAGAAAAAAAAAAAAGAAAGAAAGAAAAGAAAAGAAAAAGAAAGGGAAAATCACCATTTGCAGCTGCTTATTGTGAGATTTGGGGTTTTCCTCAGTTTTGTGCAAGCAAAACCAAATACAGAAGTATGTGCACCAACAGAAGCCAATTTATGTTTACAGCAATCAACCATTTCAAAGTGATTCTTTCCATTAATGTTGTCAACCTACTAATTAACCTTCTGGAGCTTCCATTTCTCTTGACATGAATGCATTTAATAGTTGTCCTTTTTACTTATATACTAGCCCAAAAAATAAGCTTTCGTTTGAAAACCCGTCAGTCACAGGGACCTCTGTGACTGGGCCCCACCCAACAGGCACCCTCTCAGGGGCACACCGGCGCCCGCGCTGGGTCTCCTTCGAGTAAGGGCCGTCATGGCCATAGAGGCAGGCAGGGACCCAGGGAGCCAGCCCCGGCCTCTCCACCAGCTCTCCAGCTGCCTCTCCCCCCTGTAGTGGTTGTTCCCCCTGGGGTCGCCCGAGGCCTCCTGCCCCTAAGCCTGTGCCTGCCTGCAGGCCCCATCTACATCATCACCGAGTACTGCCGCTACGGCGACCTGGTAGACTACCTGCACCGCAACAAGCACACCTTCCTGCAGCTCTGCTCAGACAAGCGCCGCCCGCCCAGCACCGAGCTCTACAGCAACGCCCTGCCCGCTGGGGCCCCCCTGCCCAGGTAGCCCTGTCAGGGAACTGGAGGTGGGGGTGGGGAGGGGACCTGATCTTTGGGGAGTCCTGAGGAGTACCGGCTCACGCCCTCCTTGTCCAGGACTGAAGCTGGGTCCAGGGCCCTTTCGCCAGTCAGCCCGGCGCAGGGCATAGGATGAAAATGGTGATGGTGGGGACTTCGGTTACCACCTGCTGACTGTAGCACCCAGGCCCAGTGCTGAGCGCTCTGCAGACCTATGTCCTTGCTCTGGTCACCAGCGCTGTGTCCCGATTTTGACCTCCTCTTCCACACCGCGCCACTGGTGCTCCAGGCCCTGCCCGAGTCGCCTGGCTGCACCCCATTCCTGAGTCCTCCCTGAAGCGTCTCCTTCTGCCTGCATATTGGTTTCTCTCTTCTTCACCAAAAATGACCTTTGTGACTCTTTTACTGATTACAAAAGCATTATGTATTTGTTGCTGACATAAGAGTAACTTCTCCAACACATTGACCAATTTCCTCCCAGTTTTTTCTACCACTAGAAACATTCTTGTCTATAGTCCCACAGCGCCCTGGGGACACTCTGGGTGCTGGTTGGGCGCTCACAGGTCATGACTGGATGGCACTGTGGATGCGCAGGTAGGACACACCCACCCGTGGGTGCTGTAATAGCCTGGACGTGAACCATCTTAGAACACACACCCGGTCTTATGTGGTGTTAGCAGCTCCAGCGCCCAGCACAGGGCCCAAGAAGCTGGCTGAAAGGGCCTGCTTCATAGTCACCCACTTTTGTGGCAGTTTGAAGGAGGACGAGTGAGTGAGAGAAGAAATATGTGGGTGCAGGGCCTGTGGGTCCCAAGGGTGAGCAGAGGGTCCAAAGGAACGGAAGCGAAAGGCTGTGGCCTCTCCTCTCATAATGCTTCTCTCACCCCAGCCACATGTCCCTGCCTGGGGAGAGTGATGGTGGCTACATGGACATGAGCAAGGACGAGTCGGCAGACTACGTGCCCATGCTGGACATGAAAGGAGACGTCAAATACGCAGACATAGATTCCTCCAACTACATGGCCCCGTATGACAACTACGTCCCCTCTGGTGGGTGTCCATGGCGTCCTCACAGCTGGGCAGTGTTGTGGTTTCCCCAGAGCTGTTCACGTGCTCAGCTTGGCAATAGTGCTGGAGTTAAGGTGGCCTTGTGCCCATTTCATAAATGCAGAAACTGAAGCTAACCACCTGCCCAAGCCACGAGGGGGAAACCTCAAGCTCAACCAGTTTCTGGGTCCAGAGAGTCACACATGGCCCACAGGGAGGAGAGTGGGGGGGTGGGGCGGTGCCTGGTGTCCTGGGACCTTGGGGAGAGCAGTCTGTGCAGCCAGGCCCCAGGCCAGTCTAGTGTCCTTAGGGACCAGGCAAACAAGACAAGCACAGGTCACCCGGGGCTAATGCCAACAGTTTTTCTGGCCAATGAAGGGGTAGGAGATGTTTAAGTCACATATTTGGAAGCTGCTTTCCTCGTGAGGGAGACTTAGAGGGTCAGTAGCCACCTGTCTGGGACAACAGCCTCTGTGGGCCAACGGGCAGGGGTTCTGTGGCCAAGGGGAGACCTTGTGCTCTTTGTACCCTAGCTCCTGAGAGGACCTATCGGGCAACTCTCATCAACGAGTCCCCGGTGCTGAGCTACACGGATCTGGTGGGCTTCAGCTACCAAGTGGCCAATGGCATGGAGTTCCTGGCCTCTAAGAACGTATGTCTGTTCGCAGAGTGCGGGGTGGGTACATGGTCACCCAGTCGGGTTGGGTGTCCCCCTACAGCACAAGGTCTCCCTGGCTGGGGAGACCATGAATGTGCGCCCCTACTTCACCCCCCGGGTCATGATGCACTTTCCCCCAAGTCCCTGACACAGAGGGTCTTTCCCCTCTATAGTCCCCGAGGCCTCAGCCCCCACCTCCCCACCCAGTGTGTCCACAGAGATCTGGCAGCGAGGAATGTGCTCATCTGTGAGGGCAAGCTGGTCAAGATTTGTGACTTCGGCCTGGCTCGTGACATCATGCGGGACTCCAATTATATCTCCAAAGGCAGTGTGAGTGTCTTCCCAAACCCAGACGGAGAGTCCTTCCGGGTCAGCGTGGCTGTGGCTCCTGGATGGGGCTTCTGGTGGCCTGGCTCCCAAGGGTGCCAGGCTCTGCTGCCTCACCATGTGTGTGGAAACAGGAAGGGGAGTCACCAGCTTTGTTTGGGTTTGAGGGGAGATGTTGAGTCCTGTGGGGTTTAGACTTCCTGGTCACGGGCTATAAGGAGACCCTGGAAAGGTGGGAGCGGAGCAGACCAAAGAGATGTTTTAGTGCTGTTAGGATGCAGACAGTGAGACAGATAAGTAGGTAGAAGGCAGCATTTGATTAAAACATGACCATCTGCTTCCCACTCATAGTCTCACTTTCCACATAGGGCCATTGAACCCCAGATCTGGAGGGACACTGGACCCTAGAGAGCTAAGACAGCTGGGATGAGATCTGCCTGGCCCCTGGGCATGTCTCTGTTCATCTGCCCACTCCCAGCCCTGCCAGGGGCCTCTACTGAGGCAAGGGGGAGTTGCCTGGGGCCTCAGACCCTGTTGCTTTTCTCCCTAGACTGGGGCTGCTATGTCCCTGTCTCTGGGGAAAAGAAAATTGAATGGTGAAGTGGGGTGAGGTGGAGGGATGGGCAGAGAGAAGGTGCTGGCGTGGGAATTGCCAGCCCAGGTGCACTTAGGCCTGACTCCACCCTGCCCTTCTGCAGACCTTCCTTCCCCTGAAGTGGATGGCCCCCGAGAGCATCTTCAACAGCCTCTACACCACCCTGAGTGACGTGTGGTCCTTTGGAATCCTGCTCTGGGAGATCTTCACCTTGGGTACACCTCCTTCCCCATTGCTCACTGGCACCCTGCCCTGCCCTACACACTTGCAGCCTGGTGGGCCTGCGCAACAGGCTCTGGCTTCGGGCCCAGGCTTAAGTGCCAGCTCCGCTGCAAAGTGCAGTTCTCGCTGTGTGACTTTGGCAAGGGTCCTGCCCTCTCTGGGCCTCCTAACCTCCCCATCTGAATATTGAGGGGTTTGGAGAGTAACATCAGAGCGCCTGCTTGGTTCTGGCATCCCTGTTTCTCTCACTCTGGGAGGGTTATGGTTCGGCATGCAGGAAGAAGCCCCAGAGTCCTAGTGCCAGGGCCACCTTCACCCGTTCCCGGCTGGTGCACCTCTCCCTGTCCCCCAAAGAGGATCTCTGCCACTTTGCCGACACCCCTAAAGCTGTGTCTCTTTTATCTTGCTCCCCACCAGGTGGCACCCCTTACCCTGAGCTTCCCATGAATGAGCAGTTCTACAACGCCATCAAGCGGGGCTACCGCATGGCCCAGCCAGCCCATGCCTCCGACGAGATGTGAGTGGAGCCTTGGGTGGGGGACAAATTCTACTGGCCTGAGCCAAAGATAAGAGTGATTTACTCAGAGATCTAGAAAAGACTAGGCATTGCTGGATCTAGGTGTTCAGGAAGTCAGGAAGCTCCCAGAAGCTGCTGTTCCAGGGCTGGCCTCAGCAGCAGGCTGGCACTGCCCACAGCACTGTACCCCACTTGCTCACCGCAGCCCCAGTCCCAGTGCAAACTGGCCGTCAAGGGCTCAGTGAGGTCACATGTCCATCAGAAACAGCCACTGAGGGGCTGGATGAACCTGCTGATCAGACGTGGTCAGGGGCTCACCGCGGTGTAGTTAGCTCCATGGAGCCCCAGATAGAGGGGGGGCACCAGACGTAGTCAGCAGAAACAACACCCCTCTACCCTCTACCCTATTCTTTTCATTGCCCACATTGTTCTGGAAGGTGCGGCCTCCAGCTCCCCACCCACAACTCCTGTGCTTCTCTGTCCCCAGCTACGAGATCATGCAGAAGTGCTGGGAAGAGAAGTTTGAGATCCGGCCCCCCTTCTCCCAGCTGGTACTGCTGTTGGAGAGACTGCTGGGTGAGGGGTACAAGAAGGTAAGTTGAGGCAGGGGCACGAGTGGGAGGGCGGGATGGAAGAGTCAGACACTGGATTCCAGGCTGTGTGATGGGCTGGGATGTGGGGGACCACCCTTTACGCTTTCAGGACCTCAGTTTCCCTGCCGGCACTAGTAACGATGGGCTGGAGGCAGAATTTACTTCAGCAACACAGGGTATTTTGCAGTGAAGTCCTGGGTGGAAGTTGACTGATCTAGACTGGGGGGAGGGAGCCCCTCTACCCTCTGCCTTCCTCATATTTTTGCCCCTGGGCCAAACCTTGGTTCTTTCTTTGAAACCTAAAGAGATTCTGTCAAGATGGGCGGAGCAGAGCGTGACAACCCTCTGTGGCCAAAGTGGGAGCTGGAGTGAGGGAGATGCCTGTCTCCTTTGGTATCTTTCCTCCGATGCAGTCCTAACCCCACTCCCACCCACTTTTAGATGGAGTAGCTTAGTCACCACTGAGCACCCCAGGAAAATGAGCCCCCCTGAAGGAGGTCAAGGCAGCGAGAGAACCTGCACCTGTGTGCTCTGAGTTGGAGAGTGCTAAGGCAAAGAGTGCTGGCCCACTAACAGGGCCCTCCCCAGGTGGCCCCAACTCATCTGTCTGGGAGACAGCTGTGACTTGGGGCCATTCTCCCCACTTTCTGGGCTCCAGCTGCCTTCCTTACAGCAGGGAGGGCAGATGTGGCCAGAATCTGTTAGAGAGCTTTTCTGGCCTGATCACCCTTGTTTCTTGGGCCTCCCCCACAACCCCCCTTGTGGAGCAGAAGTACCAGCAGGTGGATGAGGAGTTTCTGAGGAGCGACCACCCAGCAGTCCTTCGGTCCCAAGCTCGCTTGCCCGGCTTCCATGGCCTCCGGTCCCCACTGGATACCAGTTCTGTCCTCTACACTGCTGTGCAGCCCAACGAGGGGGACAATGACTACATCATCCCCCTGCCTGACCCCAAACCTGAAGCTGCTGATGAGGGACCACTGGAGGGTTCCCCTAGTCTTGCCAGGTAGGCATTGTTGTCCAGGGCCCAGTGCAGCAGTGTGCGTGTGCCTGTGTGTGTGTGTCTTCAGCAGTAAGCTGCCTATACCTGCCTGTACCCGCCAGTGGAGTACAAGACAGGTTTGAATACACTTGAGAATTGGTTGGGACATATTGACAAGGTGCCAGTTTCCTCTTAAAGGCCCCCAAGGGCCATCTCCTGTCTCTTCTCGCCTGGCCTTGTCCTAACCATAAGGACAAGAAACCTAATCGCCAGCTCCAGCTCTGTGGTCTGTGCGTCAGGGAGCCTGGTGGTGTGAGGGCAGGAGTCTAGACCAGAACTGAGGCTCGAAGGGAAGTCTTGCTTTCCTTTTTCCTGGGGATGTGGTGAAGTGGCTGTGGGATGGGCTTTGGAGAAGGCCCTGCTGCTGCCTGGGCTGGCTATGTAGACAGGGTCTCCCCTCAGCAAGAGAGAAGGGTTCCCCGTGAGGCCAGGCCCTCCTTCAAAATGAGATCCACCCTAAGGGAAAGTGCAGAGTCCCTGGCTGGGTTGACCCCAGCCCTGCCAGTGGCCATCGGAGACCTGCCAGGCATGGTCTTCACGTGCCTCAGTTTCCCCATGTGTACTAGGGAACACCCATATGACACAGAGAGCCTTCCTGCCTGTTGTCAGAGTGAATGTCCCAAGACTCCAGGTAGTCATCTTGCTGAGGAATTAAGCTGGGAACCCAACGGGAGCTGGGAGCTGGGGAGCTGGGGTGAGGGTCGGGAGAATAAATGCTCACCTGTTTTGCCCTCTCAGACAAGCGGCTTCTCCCTCTGTCCCTCACTTTCCTCATTTCTGAAGTAAAAACAGTAAGTGCACTTCTGTTTGGAAGTTGTGGGATTAAATGGACCTTCAGTATTAAATATACCTTCAAGAGCTGGGGCGAGAGCCTCAAGGGTGGGTGGGGGACCCGGCCAGCTTGATCTGCTCCGTAGCCCCAGCTCCTGCGCTTCCCGCTGTGTGCAGGGCCGTGAGTGCCCCTCTGAGCTGCGCTTTGGCGGCCACCTTGCTAGTGTTCACTGGGACTAAATGAGACAAGGTGTGTGTCAACTACACGGTGCAGGGGGACACAGAGGTTCTCCTCTGTGTTTGACTGCGACCCCTGCCATCCCCCTCATGCACTTGCCTGTCTTTCTAGCTCCACGCTAAATGAAGTCCACACCTCCTCCACCATCTCCTGTGATGGTCCCCTGGAACTGCAAGAGGAAGGGGAGCTGGAGCCCCAGCCCCCAGGGGAGCCTGAGCCAGAGCCGGAGCCGGAGCCAGAGCCGGAGCCCGAGTGGCAGCCCGATCCAAGTGGCCCTGGGCCTCGGGCTGAGGCAGAGGACAGCTTCCTGTAGGGGGGCTGGACCCCAGGTTGCCCCCACAAAGCGCCCGGCAACCTCACAGCACCCAGGGCCTCCCGGCTCGATCCAGCCCAGCCTCCATCCCTCTGGAAAGATTGTGCCTCTGCGTGTCACGCCCTGCCCCCTGGGGCTGCCTTAGACAGCAAGAACTGCAGCGGCCCTGACTAGCTTCCCAGAAGGAAGGCCCGGTGACTCTGAGCCAGGGGACTCTATTTCCCCGTCTGTAAGATGGGAAAGTTGCAGTTTTCTCCCTGGCTGACAGCTCAGAATCCTGGGACATTCTGGAGGTTTGGGAGATGGTATTAACTTTTTCTGCTCAGCCATTGAGGGGCTTCAGTTCTCTCTCGCACTTTTATCCACCCAGGAATTGGGAAAGAGGCTGTGGCCTCCCGGACTCCTGGCTGTTTTTGACCTTGGACCATGTTGCCTCATCTAAAAGCCACTTCTGTCACATGTCGGTCTGCTCTTCCAGGCCCACGGGGGTCTGGGGCCATCATGCTCACTTGCTAGGGGCAAGTCAGGGCCAGCACGACTTGCCCCAGGCACTCGGGGCACACCCTGCCATAGAAAGTGCCTGTGTCCATGTTTTCCTGGCCCCATGGGTCCTGGGGTGTGTTTCCTCATCACTGCCAGTCTTATTCCAGCCACCCGGTTCTCCAGGTCAGGCAGACCCACACCTGGAGCTGTGTTGACATGTCTCGAGAGGTGTTCACTCGTGAGAATGATACGTGCCTTGGACTCTCTAAGAGGTCTCAGAGGAATCTCTCACCCTCTTTGGGTCTGTTTTCCCTTTGAAAAATGAGCAAGTTAGACTCATCAACTTCTGGTGCCCTGCCAGCGTTCACATTCTAGAAAATTCCAAGAGTTGCATATATACTCAAATGAAGCAAAGCCAAACACGCCAGACCTCCATCCTGGAGGTCATCTGGGGAGAGTCCAGGTCACTACAGGCATTCACGTGTCCTAGAAGCCCCCAATAACTGTCCCAGGAACATTGGAAGAGGACCAGACCCCCTTTAGCACCCACACTGACCTCCAGAGCTATCCTGGGCAAAGACCTCCCAGTGCAGCCTGGCACACCAGCACCCGCTGTCCAGGACAGTGAGCTCCCTGAGGGTCCCCGGAGAGGACAAGAAGCCTTGGGTGGGAACCTGAGACAGGGGTGCAAGGGTAGCTATGGGGGGGGGTTCCTTCCCACCTACCAGCTGCCCTGTCCGTAAGGTGTCTGGCCTCCTCACCTGTGACCTCTGCCAGCCACACCCCAGCCCTGGGGGCATTGGAGGGGCCAGGAAAATGAGGGTATGACCAAGAGTACTAACCCAGGGAGGCAGGAAAGGGGGTGAGGGAAGACCGGCCCTCTGAGCACCTGCATCTTGTGCTGGTTGGGGCTCCCGAGGCCTGGAGGAGGGGAGTGGGTTCTCACTACGGTACCAAAGATGTAATCACCTAGGTTTACAAGTATTTTAGGACTCACATTAACTCACATTATACAACAGAAGTACTATTTTGTATGCCGTCATGTTTTCTTATCTGTGTACTTTTTTTAAGGGAAAGATTTTAATATTAAACTTGGTGCTTCTCACTCACAGACAGCGTGGTGTCTCCAGGTGTGAGTCGCTGTGCCTGCAGGGGGGCAGGAGAGGAGTGGGTAGATGGGGCTCTCTCGCTTCACCACTCTGGTCTATTCATTTCTGTCTCTAAAATGGGGTTTCCACCCTCCCTCATTGCACACAGAGGCCACATGCATACCACTTGCCAGTAGCAGTGTGAAGTGAGACGTTTCGCCCTCCTCTAAGTGGGATGCTGGGTTGGCAGGCACGTCACAGGCCCAAGGAGCTGAGCCCTCCCAGGCCGCCACCCTGCCTCACCATGTGCTTTGGCTTTGGCGGCTAAGCCAAGACACCCCTCCCTGATCCCCTTCCCTCCGCTCGCGGGTATAGATCAAGGCCAATGTGCCGGGGAGAGGCATCACTAACACCTGACTCCAAGCCCTGGTGAGTAGTGGTGGGGTCCCAGCTAGGAGCAGGGCAGAGGGGTACCCAAGAACAACAGGGAAAGAGATGGGAGATGTGGCCCAAGAACAGACCAGGGGAGCACATGGGGAGTCAGGCTGTATTTCTGGGGGCAGAGGCTAGCTCTGCTGGGCGGCGGGTGCAGGCCCAGACTCCTCAGTGGTGTGGGACTGATATGCACCTGCCGGCCAGCTCAGTATTAGTTCTGGGCTCCACTGCCCACCCAGGCCTGAGCCCTGACAGCTGCTCAGGATGGGAACGACAGAAATACTAGGGGCAGGGGCTTTGCGAAGTACAGGGCCTAGACCCAGGTGAGGCTTCCTGGCCACCCACCAAGGCTCCTTTTGGGTGGGTCATTGGAGGTGGACCCAGGTCTGTCATAACTCACTGTGTGACCTCGGCCAGCCTCGGCTTTCTGAGTGGAGAAGGGGCACTTCAGCTTGTTTCTTGTTTTGGAGCTACAAGGCCTCTCTGGACTGCTTCCAGGGTGATGGGGCTGCCAGTGGAGACACGGGGCTATTGTGACTCACAGGCCCAACCACCAACTCAGGGACAGCTGAATCATGCGGGTTAAACCCCGCCGCAGGCCTGGCCACCCAACACGCACCTGCCAGAGAGTCTTGGCTCTAGAGAACACCCAGAACCCGTGACCCGGCTGTGTTAGAGATGCATAAGCCAAGACAGAATATGCTCCTTTATTAAGAGAATTAAGTCCACATTCCAGATGGGGATTTTCATTACTCTTGGGAGAGCTGTTGGTCAGGAGACCTCAGCTCCCCTGCCTTTCAGGCCTGCTCCTTATCAGGCCTTGGGTGGATTACTCCACACCAGGCTTCAATTTCCCCAGCAATAAGTGGAGCTAATGATGCAAGGAAGAGACAAGGGATGATACAACTCTGGCAACCTCTGATTGACCGTGACTGGGTGGCTGTGTGTCGGAGCCTGGTCCCCACCCTGCCCCCTGACCTCTCTGGTGGGTGTGTGCTTGAGAGAAAGAATAAGAGATGCTGGGGGAGAGGAAAGAGCCAGAAAAAAAAAACAAAACAAAAACACAGTAAGAAGGCATTGGTGAGTCTGGGACCCCAGGGCCTCTTCTGAGCAGAGAGGGGTGTGGGGCTTAGGGCGGGGAGCCACGGGTCAGCTTCTCAGGCTGCTGCCCCCTACCTGCCACTCAGGCTAGCCCAGAGGAAGGGGTGAGCTGGGATTTTCCTCCCAGACAGATGAGCCACTTGGCCTACAAAACTCTTCCACCACCACCCTAACCAGAGGCAGGTCCTTGTTCCTGGAAAAAGAGAGGCGAGCCAAACACTGCAAGGCCCCCGAGAACCCCCGGGCTCCCAACCCCCCTTCTGCTCTTATTTGAATTTGGACACTATCTCTAAAAGGGTCTTGATTTCAGTTTATTGTCCAACTTCACGTAGCAGTTAAAAAATTGCTTTTTGCAAAAGTATTTTCGCAACATATGTTTGCATTTAAAAAATAGATATCCATTGCTAAAATACATAATATGGAAAGTTTTCTCTTCATGTATTTGGTATTTTAGATTCCATAGACATTTCAAATGCCTACCTTCTTTATTCAGCAGCTCTGTGTGCCGGGATTTATTTTATGGAAATTCTGTCTCTTACTGTGAATATTTTACTTATGTTCTTCTAGGTTTTTTCTCTCTGATCACATGCATATTAGTATTTGTCTTTTGCATCTGTACTTATCTGTATAAATGTAAATATAATTTTCAAAAAAACTACCACCACTACTTAACAACTTGTTTTTCCCTTAACAAAACTTCATGGACATACTCACAGGTGAGCAGTACATAGAAATCTAAAGTCACTTATTTTAAGAGCTGTATAATCTAAAAGCATGCTGTGCCTCTGAAGATTTAAATTTAATTTCTTGATGGATAGTTAGTTCATTCTTCAGAGGAAAGACAATCGTGCAGAGTATGCTTACCTTTGAATACTTATGCAAGTCTCTCCCCAGGATAAACGCCTAACAGAGATGTTGTGTACAGCAAGTAAACATTGAAAATGTTACTGGAGGCTAAAAGTTCCCTTTCGAATATACAAAATCATCATACTCTTGAGGAAATGAAACACGAAAGCTGTGAAAACATCTCTATTTCAGCTCAGCTAGGTGCTCTGGGGCCCTGGAAGGAGACTAGAGCCTTTCTGTCTTGAGAAGAGGCACACAAGAGAAGGAAGAAAGCAGTTCAAGGCAGATGTTTTCTCCCTGAGTGGCTGGAAGGGCAGAGAAGCCTTGTCCTGGTGGACATTTCCCCAGGATGCAACTCAGGCCCTGCAGACTGGCTCTGGCCCCCTTCCAGGGTGGGGTCCCACCTGTTGGGAAACCAGGGTCCCTGGGCTCCCCTGCTCTGCCCACACCTCACATTTAGTGTGTCCCTGTTGGCGCCCCCATATGTGGCCTCACAATAACTCTATGAAATGGGCCAACGCAGGACCAACCACAGATGAGGAAATGGAGGTGAGCGCCATGCAGGCCAGGCACACCCAGGGAGGCTTGGTCTGCCAGTCCATGTCCCTGTGCCTATATTCTTCAGTGTATCTCCAAGGCTAGTTCCTGGATTCAAAGGGGGCAGCAGGCTGGGGCCTGGGGTCAGGGTGCTAGCTGGTCATTGGTCTGGTGGCCCCCAGAAATCTCTGTAGGAGCCTCCTTCGAAGGAGTCCAGGGGCTTCTCTGGGCCATGACGGACTCCCTTGGTCCAGAATACAAACTTCCACGGCTGCCCTGGGGATCTGGCGAGGGACCCTGGACAGGGATCTCAGGATCCATCAGGGACTTGGGGACGCTAGAGAAGTCCATCTCCTTCTGAACCCTCACCCCTTCCCCCCCAGGACTCTGGCCCTTCTTCCAGCAGACTTGAGACAGTTCCATCGTCTCTGGCTTGGGGTTTTGAGAGTAATCACTGCAAGGAACTAGAAAAGTCACAAACACGGGGAAGTAGCAAAGCTTCTGGATTCTCAGAATTCTCATACCCTGCTTCCCCTTCTGAAGAGACAAGATGGAAATTTCCATGCTGAAAGTTTCTCTTTTTTGCTATTGAGTCCAAGCCTATGAGCTGGGCTCTCCATTGCTCAAATACCTCCAGTGGCACCTTATGGCCAAACCAAGAGCAGACGCCACAGGGTGGTGAGAGGCCTCCCCACTGTCGGCCTCCACCCTGTCTACCCCGGCTGGCCACAAGCTTCCCCACCTTCCTACAATATCCGGGCTCGCTTCTCTCCACCTTCTGGCCAACATGTGTTATCTCTTGTCCTTTTGATACAGCCCTCCCGACAGGCATGAGGTCATCGCCCAGTGGGGCTTGGGTGTCCAGTTCCCTAAGCATAAGTGATGCTAAGCAGCCTGCCCTGGACCAGCTGGGCCTCCACATGTTCTTTGTTCTTTGGAAAAATGTCTCTTCAGGTCCTCGTCCATTTAAATCAGACAGCTCCTTTTGCCATACATTGTGTGAGTTCCTTCCATACTTTGGATGGTAGTCCTTTATCAGATAGATGATTTGCAAATATGCAATATGTTCTCCCATTCAGTAGGTGGGCTTTTCATTGCTCTGACCTTTTTTTTTGTGGCTGTGCAGAAGACAGACGCTTGTGGGTACTTCCTAGAACACCCCGCCTTCTAAGCTAAAGGGCAGAGTCTTGCTCAAACCTCCCACTCTGCACAAAATCACCACCTCCTAGAAGCCCTCCTGATCACTCCGCTGGAAGCGACTTCTCTTCCCAGTGCTCTGTTTGTGTTTCCTCTTATCTGACACCTCAGTCTCCAGATGTCCCCCTCTCACCTCCAGAGACACCTCCATGCTGTCTCTCCTTCCTGGAAATTTCTCTGTTTCGCCTACCTTCCCCAACTCATTCTCAACCCAGACGATTCTTCCTTGTCTCCCCTTCAGTGCTGTTCTGCAGCTCCTCTGAGTCAGGGTTCCTCTCCTGGCTCCATCACCAGGGTGTGTGCCCCAGAGGGGAGGGATCTGACTCCACTGTTTCCCACTCTGAGCCTAAGGCCAAATGCAGAGAAGTGATCAGTCAGTAGGTATCTGTTGGGTGCATCTCGCCTGCAATCACTGGATCTGAGGCAGGACCTCCCCTCCCAGTTTTACAGAAGAAAGAAACTGAGGCGTGAACAGGCTGGGCCTGGCTGTGGCTCACACGAGGAAGGGCATGCCACTGCTGGTCTGTCTGGTGCCAGAGCCCAGCTTAGTTCTCACCACCCTTGAACTTTCTGACCTTCCCCACATTGTTGGGTACCCTCTGCGGCTAGGTTCCTGGGTTCACATACAGCTGTGCCACCTACAGTCACTGCGACCTTGGCCAGGCCGCTTAGCATCGCTGAGCCTATCTTTCCACACCTGTAACATGGGCTAATTAGAGTTCCCCCCAAAGCAGTGATAAGGACCCAATGAGATGGCCTATGCAGAGGTCATTCCAGAGACTGGCACAGGAAGGCCGAGGGGAACAGGATGGCTTTGGGCGCTCCTGCTTTCATGAGATTGTTAACAGCTCCCTTTTGGGCTCAAAGATGCCCATTCTGATGCTAAAGCATGTCAACATCAATCC